TAATATTTACAAATCACCGGTAGATATTTTAGCAAGATATTATCATATGCTCTTTATAAAACATCATATTCGCGATCACCTCGAGTATCTTTTTTTAATTTATTAAATCTTTAAAACTTCTGAGTCACATCATTGAAAATAGAGTGTTTCGTGATTTTCAAGTCTGTTTTAAAACGTGTCGTGATTTTCAAAAGAATTTTTCCAAATCATTTAACATGAAAGTAATTTCAAATAAAGCTTGCATAAACTATGATTTCATTATTTTAATTTTTGTTTCATATAATTTGCTTTAGCCTTGCATTCACCAGAAGTGCAATTGGTCTTGAAAGCTTTGCACACAGAAATTTTGTAATATCTTTAAAGGAGTTACGGTTACTCTGGGAAAAGAGAGCGTTCGCCTTCCAACGAGGTAGCCCAGGTTCGAATCCCAGCTGTGACTGGTTGATACGAATACTGCTCTCGGCTCGCACCGACCACAGTGCTAAAATAAAACATCCTCTGTGGTAGACAAATCATGAGTTAGAATTCTTCACAATCGAGCTAACTTTGGGTGGTTTTCGTGGTTTTCCTCTACATGTAACGCAAATGTGGGTAAGTTCCATCAAAATGTCGTTCATGGAAGTTAGTTAGTTCCATTGATTGGCCCAGGAGTTCTCTTGTATTTTAAGTAGGGCTCAAAATCCCAAGGCTACTGAGTTGAACATTGACAGTCGTAAACTCAGAATTTGGGTTGGTCCTTCAACGCCAATTATAAAAAAAAAGAACGAAATTCAAGATTTTGAACTGTTTTTGCCAAACTAGAAAATTATGAAATTCGCTGAAAAGAGGCTTAAGTGTAGCAACAAAAAAATTCAATTTATAGACCTATAGATCTCATTCAACTTTTTTATATTTTGGCCCTAATCTCAGAGGCCCGTAGAGTAATTGAATGCAGAAATAGCTATAGGAATGCTATTAACTGTTTTAAAAAGTGTAATTTAGGCCCAATGTGCGGGGCTCGCCACCTCGCCAAATGAGATAAAATCGAAAATTTGGCGAATAAAATCGTGTCTTGGTGAAAGTATTGGCGAAAGGTTTTTTTCCACTGGAAAGAAAAATATATTTTTATGTCGATCCTCAAAATTACGTCTAAATGAATTTTTCTAAACATATCAGTATTTTTTATTCGATTACAATAATTTTCGGTAGATGCGCGACCAAGGGCGCCGGCAGAATAATATATAAGGGGGTGCAACCCTCTAACAAACTACCCCCCCTACCCCCGAAAAAAATTTAAAATATTCTGCTATTACATTTTGTTTTGTTATTGCATATACTTTCATCTGTTCATTTTTTCAAGATACGTTTCTTCATTGTTAGCAAGATATTTAAAAAAAAGTACGAATTTCTTGTACTTAAAAATTTTGCCCAGAGGCGATCGCGCTGGCGCTAGCATAGCTACTGACTTTGAAGCACAAATAACTACAAACAGTAGTTTCGTATACTAACGTGTTTGTGCACGCTTAACATTGGTATTTATTGTGTTGATGAAGTTTTACAGTTGCGAGAAGTCAGCTTGTGTTATACACCTTTGTTAAACTGAATAACTAATAGAAAATATATTATTTACATTTTATTAAATGAAATTTAAAAATATAGCTTAGATATCTGCCAAGTTTGTGAATGCTCAGTGTGCATAAGAAAAGAATCAAAGATGACTCAGAATTCATTGAAAAAGTTAAAAACAGATTTGGACAGCAAACAAGACGATTACAATTCTTGTTTGATTAAACAATTTTTTAATTGTTATGTATCAATAATTACTTAATTATTTGTTTTTCCATAAAAATATGTTTAACAAAAAGATTTTATAAAAAATTTTTTCTGTATCTCTAATTGTTTTTTTAAAAAAAAGCCAGGGGGGTGCAAGTGCACCCCCTTGCACCCCGCTGCCGGCGCCTTTGTGCGCGACATAACCAACTAGAATTGGGTCCAAATAATAACAAACTACAGTAAAACAGTTTTCCATGAGGAAAAGTCTATCATAAAAAATTGTTAAGATTTGCATTTGGCGAAAAGACGTTAGAAAATTGGCGAATATTTTTGATATTTAGCTAATTCACTGGCTAATAATTTGAAATCCTTAGCGCGGGCCCTGAATATGGATATCTGATGTTAATACCTTCCATTGAGGGTGAGCTGCCGTATCAATCTGGAATTTTATGGGGGAGGAGGGCAAGGGAAGAAACTTTGCTATCTAGACAAGTAACCTAATTCTTCGATGTATTTTATCACTCTGAATCGAATAAACTCCTCTCTTGTCGATTCACAAATTATAAAATCAGAAGTTATAAAAGCTTTTATGGATCAGGGAAACAAAAATTTAGATCTTATAGATTTTTTAGGATTTATTCAATGAGATGCAACCCAGTCAAATATAATCAAATCCGATTTATTATTAACAATTTCAGAAGCATTTAATATTATTTTGAGCATGGTAACTATTTTGAAATAACAACTGCCTCTGACTAGAGTCAATAGTTGGACAAAAATTAAAAATCAGTTAATACTTGTAGCTGTGTTTGTATCTTTTATCTTCTTTTGTGCTATAGGATATAGACAGTTTTACAAATTCTCTTGGTTCCTTTTTCATTTTCCTCTTGTTTCTATCAAAAAACTGGTGTTGAACTATGTATCAACTCAAAGGTGGTGATATATTCTTTCCGATGTATTTTTTTACTTCGAATAAAATTTCATAGAATCATTATTAATAGTTCAGAAGTTACTAAAACATTTTTATGGATAAAAAATATTGTTCTGTACTTGTGAATATTAACACGTTATAATTGCTACGTAGACACGCATTTATTTAGCATAAATCGAAATAAATCGAAACTAAATTAATAGAATTAATAATTTTGAAGTTATAAGAGTTATTATGATTTAATGTGTTAAAAGGGAAGTTTCTGACTTACACCCATTTACATATCTGCATTTTAACCAGGCCGCCAAAACTGTACACAGAATCTGATAATATAAGTGCTTACACAACAATGTCAAAAATGTAAACAAGTATAATCCCAGTGTTAACCCCACAATATTTCCTCCATTCCCTTTCAACACATGAAGAGTGTCCTACACTCCTCCATTTTTGTCCTGCATCTCTAACATTACCTTAACAAAAACTATAGCTCCCAAGTTTCTTTTTAACGGTTTTAAAACTATGTTAGTTCTTAATGCTTACAAAACTGTACAGTTTTGTATTTATGTTTTAATCATTATACTAATTGTACACAGTTCCAAAACCGTCAAGGTGAAAAATGTTCTTTACAGTAAACTTTACGGATTTACAGACTGCTGACGGTCATTTTACCGCAATTTTGGAATGAAAATTCCAATAGTACAGATTAAAATGAATTGACCTCCTCATTGAAGGTAAAGGTTTCAACGTCTAAAAAATTGTGTAGGGACCACAACATTGTCTTTGATAAATTATTTTTCGTCCCCAGAGATGATGCCCTTCGAAAACGGATAATTTTCTTGACATTTGAAATGAAAATCACAGATGTCAACACGGAGGCACAAATTTCTTTCCCTGCCGATTCCGTTTTTTACAAGCAAAACTTACTATATCACCTATCAAAATATTTAATTATTATGCGGCTTAGGTATGAATGGACTGCGAAAATACGACAAAACGACTATAAAATACGAATATATAGTCAAACCCCGCTATAGTGAACTCCCGAATATAGTGAACGAAATGTTCGGTCCTGTGCCTTGCTGTACACGTATAATGTTATTTTTGGTGGATATAGTGAACTAAAAAAGTGAGGAAGTTGGATATTATGAACTTTTTTCTGTCTTCGACTGATTTGTCTTCATTTTTTTAAATAATTTTGAAATGTCTTTTTCAAAATAAATACTTACACTGATTTTTAAAACCATCTATAGAGAGGAATGTAGCGATAAGCATTTTTTCTTGTTTGCTTCTTTTATCTCACTTTTCCATCCCTTAACAAAGGCCTACCCAGGCAGATGTATGGACAAATTTTTTCCTGCATCAGTTAAAAATTTCTAATTTTTTTTTTTTGTACACAAGACGAAGAGTAATAAAAAAATAAAAGCAAGTCAACACATTTTTTGTTACTACGTATTATTTTTCAGTCATTTTTGTATTTCATTTTATTGGTCATTTATTTAAATAATGTATAATAAAAGGAAGAAGTTCAGAACTATTAGTTAAAATTTTTTGAGGAACGGATATAGTGAACTCCCTGGTTATAGTAAACCGAAAATTTCGATCCCTTGAAGGTTCACTATAGCGGGGTTTGACTGTATATAGATATATATATATAAATTAAAAAATTGAGAAAATATGGAAAAATAATTAAAAATAATGGCAAGAGAAGAAAAATTATTAAAATTATTTTCTAAAAATATTTTAAAAAATATTTTTACTTATTATTTATTTTTTGTTATTTATTATTCTAAAAAATTAAAAGTCCAGAAAACAAAATAAAGAAAAGATATAATCTCTTCATCAGCTCACACGATTATATCCACAAAAAGGAGTGCTTTCTAATATTGTATCAATNTATAGATAGATAGATAGATATAGATAGATAGATAAATTAAATAATTGAGAAAGTATGGAAAAATAATAAAAAATAATGACAAGGGAAGAAAAAATTATTTTTTAAGAGTATTTTATAAAATATTTTTATTTATTATTTATTTTTTGTTATTTATTATTCTAAAAAAATTAAAAGTCCTGAAAACAAAATAGAGAAAAGATATAATCTCTACATCAGCTCACACGATTATATCCACAAAAAGGAGTGCTTTCTAATATTATATCAGCATAGCTAAAGCAAAATATATCAATACAATAGTTTGAGGAGCACTAAAAAGAATTGAAACGAATATATATATGTATATATATATATATGCAACGCATATATAAATAACCTTACTAATAATTCATTTTATGCTTGATTTTAGGAAAAAAATCATCTTACCTTTGTTGCAGCAGTGTCATCAAAATATGTTTTGTCGTATTGCCAACCGTAAATGCATGTCATCTCTTCAGTGCTACTATTGTTCACAACGTGTATCCGACATGATGCGTCCGACTCTGAGGGTTGAAACGGTATCGTATCCTTCCTGGTCACATTTGCCAATTCCGGTATATGACAGCTGTGATCCGGTACCATCACCATGAACAGCAGGACCATTCCGGGAATGGAAGCTACCATAGACACGGAGAATCCATAAAAGGCTAACAAACATTTCTGAAAGCGTCCCCAAGCCCCTACATCCTCCAGAACATCTTCGAAATCCATCACGTGTTTGTATCAAAGCAAAATTAAATAATGAATGAAAGTTCTATTTTAGAACATTCAAAAGATTTATCATTCAATCAATTCGACAAATAGTCGTCTGCTCTTGAGAAAGCTAATTAAAGGTGGAGTATTTTATCCGTTTCTCCATCTCCTCCTGCATCACTTGATAGAGAACAAAAAAAGGTCTAACCGACGTAATAAAACTCGATATCCTTTTTTTTTTCTACCTTCCCTTTCTTCTTTAGAAGGGCGCTCAGTGTTCACTCTCGAAAATAATCGTTTTCGTTCATGTATGTTACGTAAGAACCAAACAATTTTTTTTTCTTCTTTACAACAATTTTATGAATGCCGTATTAAAAAAATAGAATTCTATTAATGATTGTCACTTTCATCTCAACTTATTTGATTTGATGTTTTTAATGTCACATAATTTAATTAAAAAAAATAAGTGCAGTAAGTACCTTCAAAAATAAATTGGTAAATAAATAAATAAAATGGAAGGAAGGATGGAAGGAAGAGGAATAACTTCCAAACGACATTTCCGGGAGAGAGAAAAAACGCTACGTACTCGTTTAGCGGTTGCAAACATTTTTTCTTTTCTTCTGTAACAGAATCATGTTCCTACTGTAATATGCTAATATTTTTTAAGGTCTGTTTCAAAGTTTCGCCTGAAAGTTGGATTCTTTTCAATAATTTAAAATTATTTTGAAAAAAATAATTTTGTGTAAAAGCAATTGCGGTATTTTCAAAACATGAAAATCCAAAATTCCAGAATATTAAGAATGCTGCCTGTTTCAAAAAATAGGCAGTATGTTTAAAAGAGTGTGGCAATGTTTGTAGAATACCATTCCGAGAATAACGTGTTAATATTTAAAAAGAATCTGTAGTAAAATTAGTGACGATCGCTTGAATACGCCATCTGGGGAGAAGACCAATTTCATGTCTTGAACCCTCCCCCCTGCCTTCTCTTCCTCTTCTCAATTGTATAGGAATGTACTACGATATTTTTCTCTTTCTTAATATTTTCCGTATTTAATTGTCAAATATATATTTTTTTTAAATTTCCACGCTTCTTTCCTTTATAACTATGTTCAATGTAACGTTATTTTTCATATAGTTTCCTAATTTAAAAGTTCTTAAGCTATTTGAAAATCATGACAGAAACTAACATACTTTCTTCTCCTATGACTCTTCTCACGCTAATGGAATAACACCGTGTTAGGGATAACTCATATATTACATATAAGTTTTTAAATTATTTTTTTCCGTTCTCTTTTTTCTACTTTTTTTTTAAAAAAAACTATCTTTATCAATTCTTAAAATAACTAACTTGTTATCATTTTAAAGAACCGATTGCAACATTTTTGTCGACAGTTGCAAGTTAGTCGCTTTTTATACCTATAAACGATTGAAATATTTAATCAATAAATATTTTTTATCAATTGTTATGAAGTTCTGAATAAAAACAAATGGGATATAATAAGAAGGGTGAGTTTTCAAGGGGAAATTTCAGATAAACACCTCATTTAAACATGAATTAAGCAAAATTAAATTAAACTACCCGTAACGGCTTAGCAAATGAATGAAAGGAAAAATCTGTAACTGGCTAGTATGAACCTTAAATTCAAAACAAAAATTTTTCTCATCAAAAATAATCAACTTGAGTATTGAGTATAGTAAAGTGCGGCGTGCTCTCTGCTTTCGCTTATAGCACTGCGTTTCAATAGGTAAGGCTTAATAATCAACTTTCTGACGTTCCATAAATTATCTCGTTCTTTTATTTTTTAATTTATCTCGTTACATTTTTTTTAAATTCATGCTTTTGTTATCCAGATANTTAATAACAATGAAAAAAAAACAGTGATTGACTGGTGTATGAATGTAGGTTTAATTAGTAATAGACATAAATGCCCTGTTTGTGGGTTACCACGGCGTTCCGGGCAAACAAGTATGGCTCCAGACATAAGTCGCCAATTTCGCCAAGGGGCACCCTCAAGTATATTTTTCCCAAAATATAATACCACAAAAATAAAAAGGGAACTAGGGTATATTTATCGAGAGCCACAAATAATNTTTTTTTGTTTTTTTTTTTTTTTTTTTTTTTCGTTCTCTTTTTTCTACTTTTTTTAAACAAAATATCTTTATCCATTCTTAAAATAACTTGCAAGCATTTTCAAGAATCAATTGCAAACTTTTTGTCGACAGTTGCAAGTTAGTCGCTTTTTATACCTATAAACGATTGAATTATTCCATCAATAAATATTTTTTATCAATTATTATGAAATTCTGAATAAAAACAAATGAGATATAATAAGAAAGGTGAGTTTTCAAGGGGAAATTTCAGATAAACACCTCATTTAAACATAAATTAAGCAAAATTATATTAAAATACCCGTAACGGCTTAGTAATAACCATGCAAAATAAATGGAAAAACCTGTAACTGGCTAGTATGAACCTTAAATTTAAAACAAAAATTATTCTCATCAAAAATCATCAACTTTCTGATGTTCCATAAATTATCTCGTTACTTTTTTTTTTAATTCATGCTTTTGTTATCCAGATATTTTTAGACTTTATAGTACCTTACAACTTTTTTTAAGCTTTATAATTTTTTTAAGAGTAAAATTAGTGTAAATTGTAAGACCAATTGTAAGGTATAAAACTTTTTGCATCATTTTAAGGAATTTTAATTTTGAAATTAATTTTAAAGCGCAATACACAAAATTTGAGCAAAATCGGTCGCATAGGTCCTGAAAAATTCAAAAGAATTAGAAAGAGTTAGAAAAGAATTTCAAAAGATATTTAAAATTCGATTTCTCAGGAACTACTCGACCGATATTGCCCAAATTTTGTATTTTGCCCTGAAGGATTACCTACTTTAAAATGAGGTAAAAAATTACATACCTTACAATTCAAAATTTTCTTCTATCGTTATTAAATAAAATAATAAAAAATAATAAATATTTCATAAAAATATTTCATAAAAAATAATGAATATTTCATATTAAAAAGTTCTCGAGATGTGAGATTTTGGATCGCTCTCCTGACCAAACTATGGGGACCACATTTCCCAAACAGGGGATCAGAAATCCGAATCCGTCGAAGAAAAAAGTATGTTTATTCAGAGAAAATACGTTTTTGTGTCTGATCTTTTCTGAACGTCTTTTGTGAACTTAAAATATCGTCTGCTCTTATTAATTAGCATGTTTGAGGTCACCCCTTCGAACCATTAAAATGATTTCCATTTCTCCATTAATTAAATGCTTTTTAGTGTACATAGTTTGTTTTTTATTTCAGCTCCTACCTTTTTCCAAAATCAACCAAGCATCATCGCCGTTAAGGATACGTCGAATTTTTACCCATATCCCAAACGATTTAGGGATATTTCTTCATTAATTTTACATTTTAGTACATATTTTTTTTATTTCAAATACCGTCGATGATTTAGTTTATGGTTTATTAGAATTATTTAGTTTTACAGCAAAACGTTTTAAAAGCAAAATTATATTAAAAATATAAACACGTATTTTAACATTACTTAAGGAATACTAATTTTAAGACTTAGTCCACCTAGGCTATTATGCTTCCGTTGATCATCGAGTTTATCTGACTAAACGAATAAAAATAGTTAAATGCCTAAGAACGTGCTTTAAACTTCTTTTTTTGATAAATGAGAAGTATAAGCAAGACAACATCATTGAAGCTATCCTTGAAATTATCTGCAGTTTCATAAAATGGCGCTGTCTCTAAGCTAATGAGAAAATTTTAATTTTTTAAATTTCTCTCCTCTTGAATGATATAATACAAGTTTTTGAATGAATTTTAAGATCAAGGACTAAAACTTCCCCTTCTACCCACTGTCCGAATTTCAGGACGATAGAACAAAAAATTTTGGAGTTAGAGACACGCATATTCACACACTCTTCATTTTACTATTATGGGTGCTATTTAGGAAAACAAATTTAAACAATCACAGTTTCCGCAGAAATTAAATAGAAAAACAATCGAGTACTTGCACTTAAGAAGAAGACCTCCCATGCAATCACGTGTGACCTATGACGTCAGCGCCTGCTAATCTTTATCAGCAAAATGGCGCATTAAAGTTTTGCTAAGTTTCTCTTGTAAGTTAGAATGTTAATTCACGATAAGTTAATTGAATACAAAGCTGTATTGCACATCGAATGAGTTGAAATATAATTCTTTCTCTTCTACTTCTTTTACTTAAGTTAGATTTATTATTTGTTTACGTATTTTATCGTGATATATTTTTGTTCAGTGTATCTGGCAACTTCGATACATAATTTGTTTATGTTCTACACAGCTTCGTGCCTGATTTTGTGTTAAGTCCCTGTATATATAATGAAAGAATTGATATCTATCAGAAAGAATCTTTGTGGAGGAGTTTAGAATGTGTGGTTTAAGAGAATCGAAACTTGACGGGCTTGGTTTTCTCGAAATAGAATGGAAAGGACAATTACAACTAATGTCACGTTCCAACAACCAATCAGGATCAAGATACCCACACTACGCCACTTGCAGGTATCCCATTAACACATGGAGTTGCATATTAAACCCCACAAAATTGTTGAGCATAAAATGGATTATTTTCGATTATACGGACCATAAAGGTAAATTCGTCAAAACGTAGGAACAACATCAAATGCTGATTTAAACAGATCCCCTGCTACCTATATATATAAATTACGATATATGGCGATAATTATTAAAAATAATACATATCTAATACGATAGTATCATGATCTTTATTGGTAACTGTAATTATAGAATACGATATCACCGATATCTTGATCGATAATATATCCAAAGGATAATAATGTGAATGTAAGCATAACGATAATTATTCAATGCGATATTATTGCGAGTGTTTTTTAAATTTTATTTGATAAACGAAAATAGTGCTCAATGTAAAAATATATAAATTAGATTAATTTTAAAAATATCTCAATAAATTGTTAGATATCAATATTTAATAACAATACGTAGCAATTTTAAAATTTATGCATGCCAGCTACAGGAAACTATCTTTGTGTTGGCGACAACTTAGAAACTCGGAACCAAAACTTAGTCCCTGTGAACAAGTATAGGAACGAGTACCATAAAATGTATTTTTAGAATATTAGCTACTCCATTAAATCTTTTTTAAATTAATTGAAATAATAACTTAAACCATTTCACAATTTCGAAAAATAAAACGTTTTATGTGCATTCCTGAAAATCCTGGGAGTTAATTACCTGCTAACGAAGCCTTGCGAGGGTAAATCTTGGTTATTGTTTATGCCACAACTCATCAGCCAATCAGGCTAGCAGAAGTTCAATTAAATCTGATAGGAAAATCGAACCAAGTCTATAAGCTGTAACGTTAACACACCAAGCACAACCACGTGATTAGCTACCATGTTATTTCAGCGGTATTCTTCGCCTCAAGTTGCAAGAATTCAATTAACAGAATTTAATACGCAAACTTA